ATATTATTGAACACTAAATTTGGGACACTTAATTCAGGTCTTGTTTTCGGTATAATGGGAGAGAGAGTAGTCCTTTTTGTGATATTTAATCCTTATTGGTGGTTTTTTTATTTTTGAATAATAAGTTATAAATTGGATTCAGAAGAATACTTATTTGTTTAATGGAATCATGTGATTGAGAATTCGAACTTTGTAGTAAATAATAAATAACAGTAATAAGTGTACAAAGTGAAATTTTACTGTATAATATATAAAAGTTAAAAATTATTTAAATTGATTGTAAAATTTTTCTGTTAATGAATTTTTCTGTTTGAATAAAATTTTTATTTATTTTCCCAAATAAAATTATAATGTAGTTATTAACTAATTTCCAATAGTTGTAATTTTTTTTTACTAATAAATAAAACTACTTTCCAACAGTAAAGTGAAAGATTTAGGTTTGATTCTCGTTATATTGTTGTTGTAATCTTTCTTATTCATTAAAAAAATAAGTATTGTTATTATTATATTAATTAATCGATCCTAAGGTTCCTTACATTAATTTACCTAATTTGACATGCATTAGTCATAATTCAAAATGAATTTTAGACATTGAAGTTTTTTTTTTTTAAAATCAATTATTAAATCTTATCTAAAATATAAAAGTACGTTACAATTGTAATTTATATTTATTTATACATCTTTTTGGTGAATTTATTTATTTATACATTTATGAAAGTAATTTTCCATTTTGCTCACAATTTTTCTTTTCTTAAAATATCATCAATCTCCTCTTAAAATATAAATATAATTAGTATATAATAAATAAGATTGTAAATGTATAGTTTTAGAGTGCTATAATAGAAGTAAAAAAAGAATATATAAACCTTTTTTTTCATCTCATATCTATTTTTTCTTCGTATTTTTAATTATATTATGCATTATATGTGTCTTCTTTTTTCATTGTCTTTTCCTTTTATTTCATGTCTCTCTTTTTTACACCCTAAAATAAGGTTTACTTTAATCTAGTTAATAAAAATAATAGGTGATTTAAGTGAAAAAAAATTGTGATTAATTAAACATCTCTACATCCTTGTTATTCTACCAATCCAAATCACCACAAGTGCTGCGTACTATTTGGTTGATGGCGTGTTTGGGGGGAAGTGATTGTTAATAATAAATTATATTCTATTTTATTATAAATGAAAAAGAAAAATTGAATTGTCTCACTTAGTCAATATTTAATAGACTAGTTATTATTATTGAATAAGATTAGTTACAAAGTGAATGGAGCGACTATAACTGCAAATAAAAAAATAAAGGATCATGGATAAATAGCTGGGATAGATTTTTATCTATAGTGTAGGGAACACTCTGCAACAATGATCCCCCCGAACCACCTTAGTGGGGGATGTTTATCAAGGTCCTATCGAAGTGTTACAACTGACCATGGAAGTATTCCATTATCGATAGAGGTTTCCCTACCATAACATTTCCTGATACACAAGTAGATGACCTATATATATAGTATTCCACCTGCATAGACTCACACTATCCCACGAAACAAAAATGGTATGCATGAACTCAAATAATCAACTCAACCACACAAATGCATTCTTAACTCCTTGAGTGCTAATCCACAACACTGAATTTATTCATCATATCTCATCATCAATATTTTCACAATATGCATCATCATAATATCTCAACATAAATATTCCTACATCAACTCAACCATATCTCATCCTAGTATGCTTCATTACAACTCAACATTACATCACATCATTTATTTCATGCATCATATAACATTATGCATCATAATAGCATCATTATGCAACATAACATTATATACATCATTCTCAATTCAACACCGACACTTCATATCACATGCAGGCATAAAGTCTTATTGAAGTTCCAGGTTGAGTTTTGGAAAGGAATTCTATTTCGTCACAATTGTTGGCTTTCTGAGTCAATCTTCAGGTAAGGGAACCTAGAATGTTTGTTATTTAAGTTGCATGTGAGTTTAGAACTCAATTGATGCATGAAAGTTGAGGATCCATGGCTGGATCGGAGAATTCGCTAATTGTCCGAGGTCTTGGGAACAATGGGGTTTCTAGTGAATTTGATGCATCAGATGGGTGCATGTTGATTTTGAGTTTGTTTTATGTTGTATGGAGCCATTGTGTTTTTGTGTTTGCATATGGTTAGATTTGTTAGTTTGGATGAGAGTTTGAACTCTCTGACTAGGATTAGGCTAAGCGCAGGTTGAGCGCACCAGGCGTGGGAGAGCTTAGGGCTCTCGGGTTAGATATTGGGCCAGACGTGATTTGGTTGCGTCAGGCGTGGATACTCTTAGGAGTCTCTGTTTCAAGGACACCGAGCGTGAGTTGAACGGGCTGGGCATGGATGAGTCTTAGGACTCTCAGGTGGAGATTAGGCTGGGTGAGCTCAGGCTGCGCCGAGCGTGAATATGTTTATAAATAATGGATGCTTATGCATTATTAACGTTGAAGTAGTAGATCATGTATGTATGATATATGATGTATGGTGATGTGTGATTCATATGTATGCTTTATGATGATACATATGAATGTTTGAATATGAGTATGTTTATTGATCATAATGGTAGGTAGACCATTTATGATGTATGATGCATTATTGCATGTGATGTCTTATGACATGTGTATGATTGTTGATCATGATGGTGGGCAGACCATTATGATGTATGATGCATTATTGCATGTGATGTCTTATGGCATGAGTCTAGCCTAGGACTTGAGGAGAGGAAAAATATTTTCGAACTGGAAGAGCTCACATAGAGTCTCTTGAGAGTGGTGCTTGGATAGGCCACTGATATATGAGAGTGGTGCTCTGGGAGGCCACTGGATTTGGGAGAGTGGTGCTCAGATAGGCCACTGGGTTGGGTGAGTCTCCTCTAAGTCCTTAGCTAGTGTTGGAGCGGGGTATGAGGTCGAGGGTTATTCCCTTAACCAAGTACTCGGGAAGGTGCGTGGATCCTTGCGGATAGTCGGTGGGCGAACTCCACAATTGACTTGGTTAATGCATGCCAAGGTCGTGGTAAGCCCGTACCCAGCTGTGCTATACCTGACGGTGGATCTGGACTTCTAAGTGTGTAAGTGACATCATCCGAGTAAACCCGAGTGAGGATTATATCCTGTTTAGCTGTGACCGAGCGGGCGCATTGGGCGTGAAAACGGTTGGGGTGGTTTCGGTAGGATGAAATGTCACTTATCCAGCTCTATTGTTGTGGAGATCTCCTAGGTGTATGCGTGACGACGCATTAGATGACTGATATGCATTGATATCTATCATGAGATGCATTTATTGCATGATTATTAATATGATGAAGTGTGGTGTTTGACTTCATGATTGGTGGGTTGTATTTTATGCATGAGTAGTATTGGATAGTGTGTATGGTGTGACTCTATAAATACGATTGTGTAGTATAGATTTATTGTTCTATACTTGTATGATTGATTTGTGAATTCTAGCTTACCCTTCTGTTTCCATGTGGTGGAACTGCGATGATCATACTTGGTATGGGAATAGGTCAGGGCTAGCTTGGAGTCGAGGTGACCGCTGCGAGACGGGGTGTTTGACCCTCGTGTTAGGGTTACCATTTTGGGTAACAATTTTGTCTGCTTGACTGGCACTAGGGAATATTACTTTTGGGATGACTGTACATATATGGCATTTTATTTTGTATTTAAGGAATTTAGTTATTTTTATTCTTATCTATATCCTGTATGTATGAGTTATCCAATTTAATATTTCCCTTAGTTCACTAGTAGTAGTGTGATTCCACTAAGTGTAAAGATCATGGCGGGTCGTTACATAGTTGAAATTCTAGCAAGTTGATCAACTATTTGCACAACATCATTAAAATCATCATTGAATTGCATAATTGGTTCAACAACATTATGATCAGTATTATTAGAGACAATGTCAAAAGTAACATGATTAGGAACAGTAGAAATAATGTCAAAATCAATTATAGAATCAAATGACTGTTGAGATGCAGTAGTACCAATGGTGTGGTTATTAGAAATAGATGGGGAATTAGAAACATATGGAAAATGGGACTCATAGAAAATCACATTGCGAGATAACAAAAAAGATTTTGTAGTGAGATTATATAAGAGATAATCTTTGACCCCTGGTTTGAAACCTAGAAAAATACACTTAGAGTCTCTTTTGTCTAATTTGGTTCTGCTAGAAGTGATAGTGTTAGCAAAAGCTAAACAACCAAAAACTCTAAGTGTGCTAAGGTCAGGAATTTTTCCAAAAACTGATTCATAAGGAGATTTATTTTCAAGAAAAGGAGTAGGGAGCCTGTTAATGAGATGAACAACATGTTTTATAGCATAAGACCGAAAAATAGAAGACAAACCAGATTGAAAAAGTAAGGCTCGAGCTACATTCAAAATATGTTGATGTTTTCACTCAACTATGCCATTTTGTTGAGGTGTTTCAATGCATGAGGTTTCATGAAAAATGCCTTTGGAGGAATAGAAATCAGTTAAGAAAAATTCTTTTCCATTGTCAGACCTTAGTCTTTTAAGTTTTATACCAAATTGATTTTCAGTGAGATTAATGAATTTAGGAAGAACACTCAACTTTTGATTTTAAAAGATGGACCCATGTGAACCTACTGAAGTCATCAACAAGCGTTAAGAAATATTTATGACCATCAATGGAAATTGTGTGTAAAGGTCCCCAAATGTCAGCATGCAATAGTTCAAAGAGATGAGAACTTTTAGAGATACGAACAGGAAAGGGTAATTTCTTATGTTTGGCAAAGTGACAAGTGTCACATGGCGTACAATTTTTGTATATATATCATTATATTGAGAAGATAACAACTGTAAAATGGAATTCGAAGTGTGGCCGAGTCTATGATGCCACAATTCACCGGTATTTACTGGATTTACAACAGAAATATTTGATTTATTTATAACAGAATTTTGTAAAACTTCATTGCAATTAAAATCATTTGATTCTCAAAGACAGTAAAAGCCATCAATCTTCCTAGCTGCTCCAATCATCTTGAAATGAGATTTCTGGAAAAAGAAACAGTGAGAATCACAAAACACTGCCATACAATCAATAGTGGAAACAAGCTTGTGAACAGATATGAGAGTAACAGAAAATTCAGGTACAAACAGGACATCAGCAAGTAATAAGTCACTTATATGAATATTTCTTGAAAAATTAGCAATGAAAGTAGTGTGATTAGGCAGTTTAATGGGTATTGGTTTTGTGGCGCGAAGGTTGTGAAATAAAGATTTGGTTGGAGAAATGTGGTCAGTGGCACCACTGTCAACGATCCAATGATTAGAGGCATAAGATGTACCTGAGTTGTGGACAGAAACATGATTTACTGAGGATGAATGATCCGTAGTGTGTTGGAGCAAAGCCAAGATTACGTGATACTGGTCTTTAGAGAAAGTGAATTGGTCATTGGTAGGATTGCCATCCAAATCCAGTTGCGAAAGAGAGGCAGCTGAATCCACTTGGCAGAAGCTTTGTTGTTGGTTTTATTCTTTCTATAACCAGCAGGAAAACCGATACGAAAGTAGAAAGTCTCAATGGTGTGATTGGTTTTCTTGCATTTCTCACAGAATTTGTTCTTGGAATTGTTCTTGCTTGCATTGGAATTGGTCTTGTCAGAGGAGTTGAATCTGGGTTGATTAGGGGACATAGCAGCAAAAGCCAAAGAATCTAGAACAGAATGTTTCCGAATGAGGCCAATGAATTCACATTCATGCTGAAGAACCATAGAAAAAGTCTTGACAATCGAAGGCATTGGATCCAGCATCATGATCTGAGAACGAACTTGTGCATAGCTCTCATTAAGTTCGCGGAGAAATCTAATCAGGTAATCATCCTCTCTTTCTTTGTGAAGTTTAGAGAGAAGACCACATTTGCAAGGTGTCAAACAGGTGCAAGTCAGAACACACCGATAGAGCTCCAATTCTTTCCACAGGATTTTTAGTTTCGTATAGTATTCAAAAACACTGAAGTCACCTTGACGACAAGCAAGAATCTGATCCTGAAGATCAAAAATCCAGAATTTGTCAGCATGAGAGAAGCGATCCTTGAGATCCCTCCAATTCTCCGATGTCGTATCCATCCACATCACCGATTGCTTGATTGAACGAGTCATGGAATGAGTGAGCCATGACATCACCATCCGATTGGATCTACGCCAAGCCTCGTGTAGTGGATCTGTAATAGGTGGACAAGAAAGATTACCATCAATGAACTTCTCCTTGTTTTTGGTTTCAAGGGAAACTACCATGTCTCTCTCCCATTGGTGAAAATTGCTCTCCGTGAGAAGAGGCGAAACAAGTGCCAATGTTGGATTCTCTCCAGGATGCAGGTAGAGCGGATTTGTCGGATTCACTAGGTGATCCGGTGTTTGTGTAGTGTTCTGGCTGGGGGAAGCCATGGTCAAGTATTGAGGAAGAAGAAGAGAACGTTAAGCGGAAGAAGGGTGAGGTTTCAGCGATGATACCATGACAGAGAAATGCTAAGAGTATTTTGAAATGCTTCAATCCTCATTATTACCAACCCAAAATGTAAGGTATAGGGATGCTGAATATATATACAGCATAGACAATTCAAAATTGAAAAAAGAAAATAGCTAACCATCCTAACAAACTGGCCAACGTAGCAAGAATAACAGAATTGACAGTAAGGCAAAACTAACTTGCCAGCTAATGCTGACAATCCTAACAGAAACGTAGAAACATATTTCTCACAATATATATATAAGGGGGGTTATAATTACACCTGTGTAACTTTTACTAAGTATTATACCGTTCAATAACTTTATATTAATTGTGAATTTTGTAAATCCAACCGTTAGATTGAAAGTTCATATCACTTTAAACGTGTATATCAAATTTTGTTAAAATTGAACAACAACTTGAAGGTAATCAAAGTGTTCATATTTTAGTGTATTTTGAAATGAATATATTACGTCAATTTTATTTTATAAAAATTAAGTATCAAATCATCTTGGATTAATATAAAAATTTTGTATACATGATCTAAGAGATATGAATTTTCAATCTAACCGTTAGATTAATACTTATTGAGCGGTGTAATATAGAGGGGGTTATAATAACACCGGTGTAACTTTTACTAAGTATTACACCGCTCAATAACTTTATATTAAAAGTAAATTTTGTAAATCCAACCGTTAGATTGAAAATTCATATCTCTTAGATCATGTATACAAAATTTTATATTAATTCAAGATGATTTGATACTTTATTTTTATAAAATAAAATTGATGTGATATATTCATTTCAAAATACACTAAAATATGAACACTTTGATTACCTTCAAGTTGTTGTTCAATTTTAACAAAATTTGATATACACGTTTAAAGTGATATGAACTTTCAATCTAACGGTTGGATTTACAAAATTCACAATTAATATAAAGTTATTGAACGGTATAATACTTAGTAAAAGT